AACATTAATGAAGAATCAGACAAGAATTATTGGGAGGGGATACATGTTAGGGGAAAATACGAAGTAAAGAGCTACAGCAGAATGAGAACTGAAACAACCAACATAATATGAATCAACAGGAACACGAATACAATAAAGGAAAAATGTATGACATCACCCTTCGTGCTTTTACTCTCAATCTCACCATAAAATCAATAAAGACGGCACGGCATCACCCTTCGTGCATTAACTCTCATATCATGGCACGGCATCAAGCCTATATAAAGGTCTTGTAATAGATAGAAAAATACACACAATTAAAGAAGAAAATCTCTTCCTTCTCTCTATCTGCATTTCTTGTTCATGTTTTACTAAATTATTTTTATTTCGTAACAACATTTCTTATTCATATTTTACTAAATTACTTTTATTTTATAACAATCATCACTTAGTTGACCAATAATAATTGAAAAGCATACCAAAGTTTAGCAATCCTGCGACCATTTTCTCTTAGCTTCGTACGGAATACGCAGTAGAAGTTCTTTTTCGGCCGCCGTTAATTTGCTCCAAATGAGTATGTGTTTTTTTCTCTCTAACCAACTGGGAACTCTATTTATATACCCTAGTTTTCTCATCTGGCCAAAACATTAAATAAACAAATAGTGGTGTCTGGCCAATTTAAACCTTTTGAAAAAAAGATTATATTTCTAAAGAGTTATGTGTTTTATTTTGGCCCAATAGCTACAAATTAAATCAATTCTCCAATCTCACAATTAAGTATAAAAATATTTTGGGTTATTACAGGTGTCACTCTCCTGAACCTTCCCCGATGCAATATCCTTCGACCTCAGCTACCTAACCTACCTATCCAAAATGGCCACTGCTTCCTCCTCATAAGCCATGTTCTCATCCAGCTGCACCAAACTGAAATCTAGCACATGTGAGTGATCCTCATGATACTTTCGAAGAATGAAAACATGAAATACCAGAAGAATTTCAGACAAGCTGGGTGGTAAAGCAAGCTTGTAAGCCTCCTCACCCACTCTCTCCAAAACCTCAAATAGACCAATGTACCTAGAGTTAATTAGTCCCCTTATTATAGAGTTATAACATAAAACTGTCCATTAAAGTTAAGAAAAGTTTTGAGACAAATTCTACGGTGGTAGGTCGTGGTTTTACTCCCTTAGCTTGAGCGAGGTTTTTCACGTAAATATTATTGTGTTGTTTAATTTTCACACTTTATTTCTGTTTGTATCCATCTATTTAGTTCAAAGAACCAAGTTTTTTGCAATCGCGAAAATCGGGTAAGACAAATTTAATCCCTCCTTTGTGTGTCTGGTTCAACTCTAAAATAACATTGTTCTCGTCAGAAGTGGGCAGTGCCTTCGTTGCAATGGTGTAGTGCGTCAGGTTCCTTTTATTGTACAAGGTTGTGAGCTTTGCTTTGATTTTTATGTGCTCACACTATACTGAGTTGATCTGGTTCTAGGAGTTTCTTGGATTTCTACATTAGGACAGGTGGTCAAAGATCATTCCACTCGCATTTTTGAGTTTTCTTTCCAAGGAACAAGTTATTTTTGGCAATAGGAATTGCCTAGGAGGTCCAACTTGTTCAGCTGCACAAATTACGCCGTCTAACGGCTATGATGCCATATCTTCATTCTTTCTTTTTGGAGGTGGTACAAGAGGGAACGGACCTCTAAAAACACTCCAGTTGACCTTAAGGAAATATTCAACTCATTTGAGGATGTCTTTCAGAAACATCAAGTTCTGCCTCCAGAACGATCTCAAGATCATGTATTCACTTACAACCATGTACCGGTCCTGTTAATGTCAAACCATATTGGCATCCTTATTTTCAAAAGCAGGTAACGGAGCAACTAGCCGGTGCTACTAGTTCGAAAGATGGATGGAATATGGCGATTTTGTATGGATTATCGTGCCATCAATGCCCTAACTGTGCGTGATCACTTTCCAATTCCTACAATAGATGAGCTTTTTGATGAATTATATGGGGCTTGGTACTTCTATAAGCTGGACTTACTTTTTGGGTACCACCAGATACGTGTTCGAATGGAAGACATTGAGAAAACAGCATTTAGGATTTATGACGGCCATTACGAGTTTTTGGTTATGCAATTTGAGTTATCCAATGCTCCCTCAACATTTCAAGCAACCATGAATGACATATTTTGACCTTATTTGCGACGTTTTGTATTGATTTTATTTGACGATATACTCATCTATAGTCATGATTGGATTGCTCATTTGGAGCACCTTCAATTGGTTCTACAGCTACTCCGACATCACCACTTAGTGGCCAAAAGGATCAAATGTTTATTCGGCCAACAGACCATTGATTATCTTGGTAACATATTATCTCATCAAGGATTGGTAGTCGATATGATGAAAAATATTGCCATCCAGCAATGGCCACCTCCCATTATGCTTTCTGGATTTTATCGGAGATTTATCTATTATTATGCTTCCATCGCAGCTCCTTTGACCGACCTACTGTGTAGAGATGCCTTTCAATGGAAAGAGCAAACACATGAAGCACTCGAAACCTTAAGAAGTGTTTAAATTCGACTCTTGTTCTTGCACTTCCTAATTTCAGTCAGGAATTTCAGCTAAAAATTGATACGTCTGGTGTAGGGATAGGTGCAATCCTATCTCAGAGGGGCCATCTTGTGGCTTTCTTTAGTCGAACATTAAGCCCATGCATGCAATGAGCTTCTATTTACTACCGAGAGATGTTTGCTATCACCTAGGCATTTGATAAATGGAGACAATATTTACTTGGATGCAGATTTACAATACTCATTGACCAACATGCACTTCGAAATCTTACCACTCAAAGAATCCAAATTCTAGAGCAACAGAAGTGGTCGAGCAAATTACTGAGCTATGATTTTTTGCATTATCTATACACCGAGAAAACAAAACATGGTTGCTAATGCATTGTCGCATAAATTTGAAGCCATTTATGGCTATTTGTGTCCAAATTCTGGAATTAGTTAACGATTTGAAGGAATTGAACCGAAGCCATCCCCAGTTACTAGAAATTCAGCAACAACTTGACCAACAACCCGAGTTGCGCAGTGATTTTTCAAAGAGGGGTTGCTATTTTCTAAGGGATGTTTGGTAATTCCTGCAGATTCACCACTTCGTCAGCAACTATTACAAGAATTCATTCTTCTGCAGTTGGTGGGCATGCTGGGGTTGCTAGGACCTATCAGCATGTGGTCTCTAATTTTTACCGGAGAAACATGAATGAAAGATGTGCAGTCTTTTGTGTCCATTTATCAGATCTGCCAGCAAATGAAAGACATTTATCATCATCCTATAGGTCTCTTATAGTCTCTACCAATCCCGGATATGGTGTTTGAGGATATAGCAATGGACTTTATTATTTGCTTAATTAGTTCCATGGGGAAAACCACCATAATGACAGTGGTTGATCGACTCACAAAGTCCAAGCATAGTATACCCTTACCATCCACTTTTTCTGCTCGTACGGTTCCTAAGGTTTTTGCGGTTGGTGTTATCAGATTACATGGTCCTCCGAGAACTGCTGTGATTGATCTTGATTCCCGATTCATCCATTCTTTTTGTCAAGAGGTTAGCAAAATGCAAGGCACCACTCTTCATATCAGTAGAGCTTATCACCCGCAAACTGATGGACAACCTGAGGCTCTAACAAGTGTGTCGAATAGTACCTTCGATGTGTTGTTGCAAATAGTCCTTCAGAATAGGTGTCCATGTTGCCATGGGCTGAGTACTCGTACAATACATCACTTCAAACACCAGCTGGCATGACCCTTTTTCAAGCTCTTTATGGAAGAGAACCACCAACAATTGCTAGTTATATTTTGGGCAGCAACTGTAGTGATCTTGTGGAATAATTTTTACTCCAAAGGGATGAGGTGTTAGATATATAAACAAAATTTGGCTAAAGCTCAGTGAAGATTGAAGGCCCTAGCAGATAAACAAAGAACTGAACTTTGAGGTAGGAGATTGGATCTTTGTGAAGCTCAAACCATACAGACAAGTATCAATTCAAGTTCAAAGACAACATAAACGGAGAAGAACGTACTTTGGTCCATTTCGTGTTGTTACAAGAATTGGAGAAGTGGCATACAAATTAGAATGGCCGATAGCTGCAAAAATTCACACCGTCTTTCATATATCACTGTTTAGAAAATGTTTAGGGCAATCAGGTCGCACTTCACTTGACTGATTTTGTTCATAATTATAGACCTACAGGACTGAACCTTGAGGACAAGGTTCTCGTTGGAGATGGGGTAATGTTATAAATCCAGAATCACAAAATGAACCTGTTTATCAGGCTGACGAGTTGGGTGCTGATGTGGAGTCCACGGAAGATACTATTGAGGACAATATGGTAAGGGGCAAACGAGTGAGACAAATGCCTTCAAAGCTACGTGATTATGTTGTGGGATTATATAAAGCAGGGTAGTGGATCAGAAAAAGTTAGGCAAAAGTTATCAAGAATATTCTTCTCTCATCTATACCTATGTAATTCTAATTCTCATCTCCTTCTTTCAGTTGCTATCCCCTGCACTGTGTTAATTTCATCATTGTAGTTCCCTTTGCATATCAATATAAGTTGTTTCTGGTGTGGTTAAGTATTATTAGTAGCAATTGCTATAGTATGTACTCTTTGAATATTGCAGTCAATAACATAATTTCAACTCAGGCACTAGTTAGTTTGTGTCCACCAGATGCCCATTTTTTTCCAGGCTAGGACCAATCTAAACTTTTGTTGGGACCAATTAGAATAAAGCCTCACTCCTCATGGTGAGAGATCTGCAGTGTTGTATTAATTCATTCAACAATTGCATATTCGTATTCCTGTAAGCACATGCTAAAAGGATCCCAGGCACTGAGAAACAAAAAATTCTGAAGAAAATATACTAACCTAATAATGATACATTTGACCAAAATTATAGCACAACATTGAGAATTGTTGAATTGATATCATTGATTTATTCAATAAATTCAATCAACCACTAATTCTGATTTCTGATAAATACAACAAAAGGATACAAAATCGACAAGTCACGCCAAAGGGAAAAAAAGACAATCTAATACAATGATATAACACGGTGCAATCGTAAGCACCGATTAAAGTTACAAGTTTACAACAACAAAATTTAGAAAGACAAAAGGAGGGGGGGGGGGAAACTATCTTTCTTCCTAGTTCAACAAAACTGTTTATCAAAAGCCTGCTGCTTATTGTTAACTTTTTATTTTTATTGGTTCATATAAAGAATGACAATGGCCATGAATAATGCACCTATACAGAAAGTAAAGGTTTATATTTTCCCCTTCCTCTTCTCATCCAATGCCTGCACAAAAAGAGAGGTAGAACTTAGGCAGCATTTTTATGAATCTATAGCACCAAAACAAATTCCCTATGAAAGTGTAATGACTCAACCCGTGTTTTCAGTTCTAGCATCCCATTCTTTGATTTGAGACTTGGTACGTTCGTATAATGTTTATGACAAGCGAGCAATGACAGTTTGGACCCCGAAGGACTCGGGGAAGATTTAGGCTCTTATCATGCTATTAGGAAGTTTAAAGAGTTTAAGTAGCAACCTTACCCCTGGATTCTAGTAATATACTTCTGGTTCATGTTTTGAAGCTTCTAATAAGTTTACATGATGTACAAGTCTGAATGTTCGGTTTAGGACTTGAGGGACTTGGGGGACGTTTGTGCACTATTGCATGAAAGTTGGAACCTTAAAGATTCTTTAAGTTGAATCAAGTTGTTGTTTTGATTTGTAGCGTTTGCTTTGTGTTTCGAGCCTTTGGATAAGTGCGTACAGGGTATTTGGACTTGTCAAGATGATTTGAAGGGATCCCATGGGGCTTAGGTGAGTTTCGAGGTATTTGGAGGAGGATTAGGTGAAAGACCAGCCAAATCTGCAAAGAATGCAAACCTGGCGCGCCAGGGCAATTTACCTGAAGTTTTGTATAAATAGCCTCATTTCGTACGTTGAGTTCATTTCACCATTTTTGGAGCTAGGGAGCTCGAATTGAGGCAATTGTTTGAAGGATTTTTTATGTACGACATTGGGGTAAGTTATTTTAACTAGAATCTATGATTGTATCATGAATCTGTCGTCAATTTGTCTTAAAATCAAGGAATCAAAGAGGTGAAAATGGGATTTTAGACCAAACCTTAAGAAAGTGATGAAGATTTAAAAACCGATTATTTGGATTGAGAATCTAATTACATATTTGAACTCGGAAGATTATGGATCACCGAGATTTGACCTTCGTTTTGGGGTTTGACTATGTGAGCCCAAGGTTGACTATTGTTGACTCTGACCTAAGCTTATCTTTTGCTCCGGGAATTGAGTCCTATGACTTTATTTGACATCAGGAGCATTATTTGGGCTAGATCAGGCTCGTTTGATGGAATTGGAGCAGGGAAAGATTATATTCTTCGAAGAATAGAGCTAGTCCAAAACCGAGGAAAGTTGAGACTTGACCTTACTGAGGGAATATTTTCCAAATTGTCTTGTTTGTTATGTGCTACGTATTTGGGGGTAACGCATATTCGAAGTGACGAGCGTATACGCGGACACCATGTTAATTCCATGCTTGGGTAAAGGACAAGCTTTGTATGCTTTACTTGTTTTAACTGTTGTACGACTACTTGAGCATCTTATTCATGCTAGTATCATCTTATTAGAATTCCTGCACATGCTAGTTTAACATGATAGTGTTATGTATGTTGGATTACATGAGTTACTCATTAGTTATACATTGATCATGTCTAATCTTTGAGCCATGACTATTTATGCATCTTTATATGCTAGTCTTATGTTATAGGCATCTTTCACATACTAGTTTTACATAATAGGTTACATGAATGTCGAGTTACATGCTTGTTTGATAGTCATGCACTGAACATATGCATCTTCATCTGCATATGAGGTTCACAAATAGATGTGGTTTTGGCATGTTGAGTTGTCCCTGTGGGTTATATTGTGCATGTTGATTTGGCAATGCAGTCTGGGTGTGTGGATCCACGTTCATGTTTGTGTGTGGATTAGGATTCATTCCTTGTGAGTCACCCTCTCATGTTTCTTTTTTGGTGGCGTACACGCAGATTTGTGAGAAACTGACGAGTTTCTGGTTTGTTGGACACTTTGAGGATGTCGGTCGATGTAAAGTTCGAGTTTGTATCATAAATATGCAATCATAGACTCTTGTTGCATTTTATATAAATGTTAACTGGTGCATGTCATTAGATATATGTTGTTCGATGCATTTCACACATGCATTGGGTTGTTTGTTGTGAAAGCATACATCATATTGCATGCTTAGACTGTGCATATATTTTGATGCATTGATATATGTATTGGACTTGCTTAGTCGAGATAGGGTGTATCATTTCATATGCTCTATGTGTGCATATTGTTATATGCATTGAGCATGATTAGCTTGTTCTTCAGTGCAATTTTTCTATTGTTGCTATGTATATGAATTACAGGGGTTAATAAGAGAGTATTTTGACTAAACCCTTGCCGCTAGTTTGTTAGGGGAATAGTCATGGATACTTACTGAGTACTGTGCTCGTATACTCATACCACATTTTTGCACCTTGTGTGATGATACTGGAGTTGAGCGTTTATAGAGTTCTTGAGCGAGTATTGAAGATATATCATCGTTCTAGTTATGAGTAGTCATTTTGTTTATGGTAGTGTAGGACCTTGTATCTATGTTTTGTATATTTCAAATAGATGTTGCATTTGTTTTTCATATCAACGTTGTATTCATATTCTTAGTAGCTCTGACTTGTGACACCAATTCTTGGGATAGTTTGTATTGAATTCTTCATTTTAACCTTATTATTTATAAGAAGATTTTCCGCTTAAGTTATATTTGTATTGATTGGTTCACCTAACGGGTTGCATTGGATGACATCATGATTTAGTGGGATTTGGGTCGTAACAGAAAGTCAAGTTCATGTCAAGACAAAGTTGTCGAAAATAGAAATATTTTCTATGCCGAAGTAAAAAGTAAACAAGATTCTAATCCTTCAGGTTGAATTATAAGAGTAAAGTACGATTCCCACACTACAATATTCATCTTGGCCGGCAAGCACTCAAATTGCTTGATGTTATTTTCCCCGTTCTTTTCATCTAGACTTGGGGGCTAAATATAAAAGATAAGAATGAAGCCAAAGCAGCACTATCACATTAACCAACACCGTGTTGGATTTGGACAAGGACAAATAGATGAAAACATAGAAACAAAGATATTCATATTCTGGAAAATAGGAGGACACGGCACGAATAGGACATGAGATTTGCGTGTATATATGCAAGAGTACATATAACAAAAAGGAAACACGGAAAAACATACAACACATGCTTCAGACATAATTTATCAAACGTTGTTAATTGTATAATCCTCTTATCTAAAAGCTTAAACTGTTAGAAAAAGAACACTTCTATTTACGTAAGTCTTCAACACGCCCCCCACGTGTAGGCCTAATTTTTCTTCATGGGTCAAACACATGAAACTTTTTCCCGATAACGGCTGGCGGTGAGGCTAAAACTCTAAAAATTTGCCTGCTCTTATACCATGTTTAAGTGTGCGACTACCTCATTTAAAGGTTGAAGCAGTTAAAGAGAAAGAGAATACACTTTCATTTACTTATTTACGTCTTCAACAAACTTCATGAAATCTTAGAAAGGTATTAAGTGGCCCATATTGGTTGAGGAAATAGATTGTTGTCTCCTTAAAAGCGAGAAATCCTCATCTCATGACATGAGTTAACTTTTGGGTTAAGTTAGGTCCAAATTCCATTTTTTTAGACATGGTATTAGAGTCAAACCAGTCATAACTTCATTGCCAATGTTGAGACCCCTGTTATGTTTTCCATGCTTTAGTTGTCTAAATATGGTCGTTTTTTTTTTTGGGGGGGGGGGGGGGGGATTAAGATCCCAAATTGATCGAGGAAATAAGTTGTTATCTCCTTATATGATCTTGGTAATCCTTGTCTGATGAGCTTACTTTTGGAGTTAGAATAAGGTCCAAGGTCCCTCACGGCTTAAAAAAAACACATGCTTGTTGTGACTGTTAAAATCATTCGCAAATTTTCCGAATGTACCTTTCTAACTTCCGAGTTAGAGCTTGGTAAAAAAACAGAGATTCGAGATTCCAGTTTTGACAAGCTTCCTTCACTAAAAAGGATACTCCATGTACTCCTTTAAAATATATTATTAGTCAGTATAAGAAGGGTGAAGATGAGATTAGACGGTATTATGGTGCCTAAATGCAAGCAATTCAGATATCTAAGCTCATTTCAGGCGAGTGGAATGAGAGATAAAAATGTTACATGTAGAATGAATATCAGATAGTTGAAATGGAGAAGTAGTACCAGGGTTTTATGTGATAGAAGGATGCCTAGCAAAATGTAAGAAAAGTTCTATTAAACAGTTATAAGACCAGTAAAGTTATATGGGAATGAATGTTGGGAAGTCCGACACTATCCACAAGATGTGTTTCATATAGATGCAGATGCTAGGATAGATGTGCGGTCATGAAGATTAGATAAGATTAAAAATGACAATATTGGTCAAAAGGTGCAAATAGCAGATATTGAGGATAAAGTGAGAGAAGGTCGCTTGAGATGGTTTGTCATGTCATGTGTCGCCACTGGTCTGTAAGTCTAATAGCATAGCGAGTGAAGGTGTTAAAAGTGGACGAAGTAGACCTAAAATCACATGGAAAGAAATTATCTTGAAAGACCAACAATTTCTTGGAATCCATACAGACCTAGCGAAAGACAGAGCACAATAGAAGAAAAAAATATATAGGCGATATTAATTAGTTGGGAATATGTTTTGGTAATGTCAATACATTTAGCCCTATGCTTCTAAGATAGCCTTATCTCAGATTTTATGCCGATACAAAGTGCAAAGAACTTCTAATACTTCTATTCTTGTTATTTTGTATCATGTTGGACTGAGATGAATTGAAATGAAGAAACATGGTCATCGAGGATTCATATATTCAACCCAACTTGTTTGGGATTGAGGTATGGATATTCTTGTATGCATTAGAGAAAAAACTTTAGCAAATAATAATAGTAGTAGTAGTTTAGTGCACTAGTAAATCAACACAAGTGCCCATAGTTGACAACTGCGTTTATATTTTCAAGATTTCGGACATGATAGGTTGGTGCTAAAAACTGTCCCATTGGTGTTAGTGTCGGACTACTGTACAACTCAAATATGCTACCCAACATTTGATGCCCACACTTTCAAGAATTTAAGCTAAGCATCAATATACAGGAAAGTTTCTGTTAGTTTACAGCATGTATATA